CTGCCATCAACAGCTCCGTACGTTATTAAAACAGACAAGAAGGTGACAACTGAAGAAAAATCCGGGCATGAGTTATGTATATTTGGACTTGAGATTCCTTGGGTGAAGACTTGGACAAGTACCCCCAGGAAATACTGGCAAAATACAGACAGCATTGAAATTTCTTTCAATATCCGACGTGGCTCCTCTTTTCCGCAGCTTCGAATACATGTGTGTGGCCACTCAGGTCAATAATGATAGGAACCAGTCACTGTCTTCCCTGTCTGCCATAACATGTGGCAAATCCCTCACACGCACCCTGAATCACATCTTGCCAACATGGCATTCGTACAAGGCAATGCAATTCAGTGATACTGAAGTGCATCGTTGCGATGTTCCTGCAAAACAATGGTGCGGCTACAAAAAACAGTATTCTGGATATACGGTTGTGAAAAAAATGTACGCAGAGAGGTGTTTGGTATGCAGGCTGACACATACCAAGGACATTGACAACATTGTGGCTAAGAACAAACCAGTCCATTCAGGGATCAGTCTCAAAGAAGAACACCATAAAGGAGTTTCCCCTTTCACTATTCTTCAAGTGGATGCTGTGAATGTATTTTCTATGGATTATATGCACCAGGCCTGTCTTGGGGTCACACGAAGGCTAATTCTTCTGTGGGTCAGAGGCAAAAACGAAATGAGGCTCCCTGCGACACACATAGAAGAAATCAGTGAAAAACTTCTGGACCTTCGGAGGTGTATTCCAAATAGTTTTGCGCGGAAACCCAGAGGCCTTGGAGATATTGAAAGATGGAAGGCTACTGAGTACCGTCAATTTTGCTGTATACAGGAAAGCTGGTGCTCAAAGGCATTCTTAGGAATGACCTTTATGATCATTTCATGGCCATATCTGTTGCTATGTGCATTCTTGTTTCACCAACTCTTGTGCAAATTCATAAGGAGTATGCTCACAACCTTTTAGTCTACTTTGTACGGAGGGGTCGTGAACTCTATGGCAAGGAGTTCCTTGTGTACAACGTGCATGCCATGCTCCACATATCCGCTGATGCTGAGCGGTTTGGAAGCCTGGACAGCTGTGCGGCATTCCCATTTGAAAACTACCTCCATAAGATGAAGAGAATGGTCCGTTCTGGGAAGAATGCCCTGGCACAGATTGTGAAAAGGATTCACGAGTTGGAAAACGCTCCATGCACAACATGTTTGACAAGGGCAGAAAGCACCATGCAACTACAGAAGCCGAACAATGCATTTATTTTGGATGGTCCATCTTGTTGTGAGGCGGTGGCTTTATCAAATGAGAAAGATGAAGAGGGAAATAAGAAAGTGTTGTGCAGGGTGTACAACAGAACTGAATCTGTCTTCATGGAGCCCTGCGATTCCCAGATTATTGGAGTATATTGCATCCACTTGAACGACAGCTGCATGAAGCTCCTGACAAGAAAAAGCCTCCACACTAAAGCCATCATGTTCGAGAAAGGGAATGGCAGAAAGGCGGTGTTTCTTACCATTCTGCATGGATTATAATAGTTAAGTGCATTATTTCATTTCAATAAGCACCACTGCTACAAAGTTTGCAAGTATTTAGTTGTTCTGCATGGGTTATAGTTTATCCAAAGTATACCACAGATGATGTAGCAATTAAATACATGATAGTAAGCTTAGTGATAAACAGCTTTTGTGTCTTGGTCTTCAGGTAAAAGATGTCGGGCGAATTTGTTGTAGTAGAGTTTGTGGACGAGATTGCTGTTGAAGTCGTCCACAAGTCATGGATACAGTCAACAAGAGATGTAAGTAAATACATGCATGTACTTGGAACATTGTCAAATATATGGGTTTGCAGCCGTTTGATAAAAAATGGAACTTAAAGCGTTTCACATATGTGACCCGCTCTATCGAAATCAGTCGGAAGTCGCAACGGCTCATTTCAGAGGAATTTTGGCCCTTTTTCCCACTGGTGGACGCACTTTTCCTATCCCTCCTCACAGTGTGTGAGTGTTACTAGGTCAGGAGTCAAGAAGGGGTGGGGCGAGGGGTGGGGGGTGTTAGTGACATTTCGGTGACTGCGCCTTAAGCTTTTATCATCTTTACTATCTACAGGGCCTCGTGAGACCACCCCTTGGCCAAAAAGGGTCTCTTAAGAGAGGTCACTTCTCATAAGAGTTTCAATAACATGGGATGTATAGCCCTTGATCACCAATACAGGACCACTGTATATCCACTACGCAATTCATTAAAACATTTTAACTACATTCAGTCGCTGCTGTTATATTTCAGCGTCTGTGTTGCTATTGGCAGCAACGGGTGGAGCCTCTTCAAAAGCCAGGAGAGGGAGCTGGCCTGACAAAGAGCAATGGAAGCTTATTGAAGTTAGGGGATATTCATTTGGAGGTTAGGAAGCATTTAATATTACAGTTTGAAACGTTAGATTAAGTACATAATTCAGCTATTTTTGTGTACTAAGCGGGAACTGAATAAATTGAAGTGAAAAAGGGAAACAGAATGATGTTAATTTTATTACCTTGTCAGTATATCAGGGTCTCTTAATATACATATTGTTTCCACTTCAGGACCCTATGAGGAAGCCCCCCCCCTCAAGAAAGGGCGAGAAAGGCTGAGGATACCTCCAATGTAGAGACTGACACAGAAGAATGTCGACGGAAAAACTAAGAAGCCTGCAAAGTTTCAGGTTTCAGAAACTGAAGATGCTGATGGTAAATACAGAGAATTGGCATAAGAGTATATTTAAATATGTGACGACATAGATGGCTTCATAATTGACAGAAATTAATAGAAAAAACAGTTTCAACGGAATAAGAAATATTAACCCTTTCAGTTTTCTTTATTAAATGTCATTTAATGTCGGTGCTTCACTTCACCTGTTATCTTTTATTAAATAATGTTAATACAGACGAAGAAGGGGAGATACTGGAGGCAAGTGACAGTGTCCTGCTCTAGTTCTGGCCGAGCTACCAACACCTCCTCAACGGACAAATGGAAATGAGGTTGGCACAAGGATCAAGTAGAGCTATATCCTCAACTGTTAATTTCAATTATTTTTAGTTTCAACATGAAGCTTGAGTCACAAAAGGAAAAAAACAGCATTTGCTTGTATGCCTAATTTTATTCCCAGGAGGTCCAACCTTTTCTTAAACACAGTATCTACTGGCTAACTATTGGGCTATTTTGTACATATAGAACCAATGGATTACTTTTTGTACAGGGGACATTTATGCAGTACCAGGTAGATCAGTACCGGTAAATTGATATTTTTGGGAGTATTCTTCTTGCAGTGAAAATAAAGTATTGCTTTCATGTCCTAATGAAAAAATGCATTAATAATGTTTTATCGATAACCGCACTCATCATTAAATACTTGGTAAGCTGATATGTAGCGAGATCTTCTTCCAGTGATAAGTACATGATACTCTCCTTCATGTGCCTAATACCTATGCATTAGATCAATTCTCATGTTGCATGCACTCATTCTAAAGTCTGTCTAAGCTGTCCTGCACCTAGATAAGCGAACTCACAGAGTAAGTTAGTACAATTGCACTGTGCATTTGCTTCATATTTAAAAAAATGTACCTGTTTCGAGTAATGATATACATTGTGGTCCTGTTTTAGAGACCACCCATCTGCCAAGCCAAACCGATCTGTCATAAAGGGTGGGGTCTCTCATAAAGAGGTTCAATAGCATGGGGATGGTGTAGCCATTGGTGCATGATGTTGCGGGGCTCCCAAGAGACGTGGCTTAATATGAGTCATTCAAAGGGGCACACTGTATTCACTTTTCTCCATTTTAGCTTTCGCTTTATATTAATTTAAGTATTTCTGGATATAGACATTTAGAATTAATTGCATTACTATCTCTGTATACAGTGATACCTTTCAAGTGCACCGACTGTCTGAGGATCACGTGGAGGAAAGCAACCTTCCATACCAGGTAAGGATCCTGAGGCATGGTAGTTTTACCCAAGTATTTACTGAGGTAGTACGTACATGTATATCGTCATTGCTCACCATGGATTGGTCTCTAGGCCATTCGATTGTACAGTCCACCCTGGTGCTTAAAGCGATTTAGACTAGTACATTGTAGTACACTTAGACCATTCTGATATTAAAGCCTGTAGCGAATCTCTGTTACTACTCATGCCATGTAACTATGCCTTACTGTTGGCATGTACTGCAGTGAAGTAATAATTTACTGTTATGTTTTCAGCACCCCCACAACACCCAGAGCTTCCTACATCTGCTGCAATACAATCCTGAAAGTGAGCCACAGGTAACAAAAGCCTAATGTAACAGTTTTTACTTTCAGAATATTTTTCAAATTGTGGATCCAGAAAATATTCAATTTTGATTTCTTCATTCTAAACATTGTGTTCTTTTGAGACAAATTGATTGATGGATTATGCATCCTTTCGCCTTTTTTTCTCATTCCATTTACGTTTACGCATTTGGGATCTAGCACTTGCCGTTGCTTGAATATGTGTTGTAACCTTCAACGTCAACATGAAATGTAATGAATAATTTGCTCGCAATTGCCTTATGCATGGGTATACATGTATGTGGGTGAATAAGATGCAAATTTAAGCATAGTATTTAAAAATGTGGAATTTCGTGTTATCCTTGCTACAGGATTCCAGAGCGGATGCCTGATGCGTATGCAAAACCTTGAGAGTCACAGGGGGAAATCCCTTAGAATGCTGCGCTTCTTGACAAGTGCCAGCAGAGCAGCAGGAGAGGATTTGGACGATGTACTACCAGACCCTGTCAGCAGTACTGAGGAGCTGGATAAGGCCTTTGTGAGAGGCTACAGATAACAGGCCTTCAAGAGACATTGGTATGTTCCATTGTGAAAGAAAACTTATTTTGTAAGAATCGCTTCATTTTATGGAAGAAGTAACTCCATCTTCCAAGAGACAGATAGGCAGGACACCAGACAGACAGGCAAGCAGGCAGGCGCACACATACAGACAGGTATACAGACAGATACGGCAGACAGACAGGCAGGGCACACAGACAGCTAAACAGGCAGGCAGACGGACAGTTCAGGCAGACAAGGCGCCTAAGCAGGGCAGCAGGCAGGCAGCAGGCATAGATAGATAGATAGATAGATAGATAGATAGATAGATAGATAGATAGATAGAATAGATAGACATAATTGGGACCACTGAATTATTTCAAAACTGTAGTAGTTATATTCAATGCTGCCCCTTTGTTATATATATCGTGACAATTTAGCCATTTTCACCTGGATGTACTCAAAGGTTTTTTTATTTAAGAAACCAAATTATCTACATTGCAGACATGCTATATGAGCTTCCTTGGGTGGCCAACAACATCGGAGACACCATCGGAGGATGCTTCTCCAAGTTGGGAACCAATGCCTGTATGGTCAACGTATAGCCTCAAGGGAAAGAAGGGCAAGAACGCGGTTGATGACCTGTCGGTCAGCCAAACGCGGTCGTCATCGCAGTAGTGTTTTAAGTCATAATGGCATGCAATTGCTTCTTCAGTATTTTATGAAGCTCGCCTGATGCACTCCAGAGATACTCAATATAACATATGTTGATTATCATTTTATTATAAACGCAAACGGACCAATTTTGGGGATGTTATGTTTCATGTGCATGGACGTGGGTACGGTGTCTGGGTGTCTGCATCTTCGTTTAGTGGATCTTTCAAAAACTATGTGCACATTCTACAGTTTACTTTATTTGTATGGAGTATTGGTCATCATGGGGCAGAAACCCTCATGATGTTTTGGTGCTGATTCCTATTTTTATATGATCGGGTATTGTTGTGGCCATCTTGGATTTCTTATTTTCCTCCGGGGTTTGGCCATACTTACCGCGTACATTTCAGCTGGTTCATGGGTGGGGTAATCATCATCGGTTAGCGGATATGCGGTCCCAGGTGGGTGATAATGGGGGATTATTGATCCTACATCTGCCGCTAATGGGGATATTGGTCCCAAGCTGCGAGGATACTGGTCCCAGTGGGTGATCGACCTGAGTAATGAGGGAAAATGGTTCAGCCAAGAAACCCATTTGCTGGCCCACTCCTTGAATATTGTTGGCCAGTAAGAGATTTGGGGGATTGTATCCTGTGTTCGTCTGGTGAGATACGCGCCATTTCTATTACAAATATTAAAATATAAAACGTGCCTTAGGATTTTAGTTTAGATTTGTGAGGAATAGTTGTTTAGTCACTTAATTCTTTCCCCAGGTACATATACTTGTACTTCTTCGCTTTCTTCCGTGCATTGCTTGGGGTTAACAGTTTGGTGCTTACTTTTCGTACAGGAGCAATGCTTGAAAAAACCAATCCTAAAGCCAAGGCTTCCGAGGTGGAGGAGCAACTGCTCCGAAAATCTCAAATATGCACCGAAGAAAAATGGAGGCCAAAGTACAACGGGTTGATAGTGGATTCTAGTGACTTACCTTAAATTATTTTGGTCCATCTCTCCCAGGTCTGTCAATAGAAGTCATTTACATAATCACATAAATTTACCACTTTGACATATAAGTATGTTGTCAATCAAGTACTAAATCTTTGCATTCTCACAAAGTTAGATTATCCCATTATCAGCTACTCATCACCTCTTAGCAACAAGTATAAGGATTTTATTTTCTAATGATCCATGTGATTGCCCTAATGTGGCGTTCTGCTTTTGTAGGAACCTGCTGCAACAGATGAAGGAAGAGCATCGCATCTGCAGTCGATACAGATTCAGATTAACCATTTCACATATTATGCCTGGATCATTGGTGCACGGACGCGTTTCGGCCAACGGACGTTTTGGCCAGGTATATTTGTCGGGGGCGGACGTTTGGCCAGCTTGTACAAAAAATATAATAACTGATAAATAAATATTTTATTTCATTTAAATCTCACCACGTAGTAGGATACCATTTTACTGCCATCATAATATATAACTGAATAAAGTACATTATAGCGCCACAACGTAAATGTATCATCTTAGGTCTACAAGGTCTCGGTTCGAAAGCCACAATGTTCAGCTGGCCAGCTATATTGTATTATCTTGGACAATGTTTAACTATTGTTAGGTTTTTCCTTGAGGTACTATAGAAAGAGTATTTAGGTAGAACCTGTTATGCCTTCATATAAAGAGATATGCAATTGATATCGATTTATATCCCTCTTGTGTGGTTAGCTCACATTTGGACCATGGCTTCATTATGATTCTTTTGTTCAGGAACATATACAAATGGTAAACTGGTTACGTCCCTATATACCTTAAGTTTGCAGAGAATATTTAAATTTCCCATAATTGGTAGAAATAAAAATGTTATTATGGGTTTATGGAATTTCTTTTGGACGTACTATATCTGTCAATTTCGATCATGTCCATTGATGTATTATGCATTTGAAACCATGAAATGCAATACTCTAAAATTGTCTAAGAAGTGGTATAGTTGAGTGTGTTGTTACTTTGACACTAATTAAAGCTAATCGCGAAAAGAAAATATGAATTGCAAATAGAAAGTGGCTAAAAGGTGGTTGAACTTACGTGTTGTAACGTTACATTCAATGTGGTGACCACGTTATTCAACCATACAAAGATCACGTGGCCTCCAGTAAATTGACCACGTTGT